GAGTAGGCTCCAGCCTAGTCCGAGCTAAGATCTGCACGCCTTCAGTCAGTGCTGCTGGCTGTAGCTTGGTGGAAGCTCTTGCACAGGGGCATCAGCACACTGCCAGAGGCCCTCAGAGGGACGGCTGTGAAGCTTTGCAGGACATCTGCAGGCTGACCAGGCCTAAGCGCACACACAGGTTGGTCTGGTCTTGAGGGCTGGCTCAGAACTATGCTTAATGGCAGCATAAATATACCCCTGGAGAGGGCAGAAGGTACAACCAGTGAGCCCCCAGAGCATCTGTTATCAGCTGGTTTCCATCTAAAATATCCACCTAAAAAGTTAGAGACTAAATTGTGCCATCTCTGCAGCTCCTGACCTCCAGTTCAGCAGAGAAAAGTGACTCTATGTGGTGTTATACCTGTGCAGATTTCTCCTCCAGTATCTTCTGTCTCAGACTCTTCAGAAAGCACATCACACAGAGCAGCTGCTTTTCCCCCAGAGAACTAGCTGCAGGAGACTTAACAGTAATACATTGGTACCCAGCCTTCGCGAAAGAGGGCTGTAAGCTGCTGATCCTGCAATAACACCTCTAAGGATTTAGAGTCTTTAATGTTGATTGCTGAATATTTCTGTTCCCCTCTGAACCATTCCAACAGTTGTTTCAAGTGAATGTATTCATTCCCTTCCTTTTAACCATTGGAGCTTCTTGCTTGGTCTGGGAGCAAGGAAGAGGGAATGAAAGGGTCTCTTCAGATTTGCTGTAGCTGCTCTCTTAAAAGAGAGCATTGACACAGATTCTGCAGCTCTCGTGTGTAGTAAGACTCCCAGAGGACCTGCGCGCACAGAAAGACTGCAGGATCCTTGTGGGCACTCCAGGAAGAGTGTGGCTATTCTCCTCCCCGCTGGATGAGAGTATCATATCTATTCCTAGCATAGATCTACCAGGTGGCAGCATTCCCCTGCCAACATACCTTTGGTTTGGCTTACCTTGAAAGCTATGATGTTATATTATATGATGACATCATTATATTTATTTCAACTTTCAATGAAGATTTCTGGCAAATCTCCAAGCTGGAATATCTTCTTTTTAATGGATCCAAGATCCAGCCAACATGGTGCAGATTACATTTATATGACACAATCCAAGTAAGGTGAACTGCTAGGGATTTTTTTAACAGCTGTTGATGTTACTAAATTGAGATTATTTCTCTATTAAAATTATGGAAGAGGCAAAACTTGTCCAGTATTTATACAAACACTACTGCTCTAATTTCTAGCTGCGGTTATTTTTGTGACGACTCCATCGTGCACTCATGCAATCTCAAGAATTTATCTTTGTGGTAGTATTTTGAAAAGGATAAAATGAATCGAATGTATTTTTTCAGTTAAGTATGTGTGTGAGGACACTGCACCTTAATGGTACATGTAACAACGTTTTCCTAGTTGGTTCTTTTTCTTCACCCTATCTGGACTAATTTTGAATGAGCTTATTACAAACATTTGAACAACTTACTCTGGTCTACTTTTTTTATCCTTTTACCAACTGTGTTACTCTTACACTTTCAAATCAGCCTAGAACATCACAACTTTCATTAACAGTTACATGCTTTTCCTGACAAACATAAGGATAAAGCATTTGGGAATGCTACGTAAGATACTGTTCTGCACTGGCAAAAAAAAGGGCTTGGACACTGAAGCCAACACTATCGAGGAACCCCCCTTGAACACTGGGCCTTAACTTTACTAGATTTTGAATACAGATGTGATGTGAGAGAACAAATTATTCTGGATAAAGACTATCTATGCTGACAAAGAAGATGAATTCCTGTACTCCTCATAAGGAACTGCAGCACATAGGTTAAAGGACTCAACTGAGGGTATGCAGCCTATGGCGAAGGTAGAAATGAATTTAAATTTCCAATATTAGGCTTTAAGACACTAAAATTGCACAAGAAGAAACTGAAGAGTAACTAAGAGCAAGCTTTCAACCTTTCCCTTCTTATTTCTTCCCCACAGTGGTCTCTGTGAGGTCTTACGATGCCACTACAAAGATCAGCAAACCAAAATTGGCTGTGTTATGAATTGATTTCAATTTAAAAGAGCCATAATTCAATTTTGCTTTAAAAACATATTACAAAATCTAATATTAAAAAGATTTGCATAGAAACATTCATCAGAAAGATATTTTATTTGTTTGGCTTGAAACACTTCCACTACAAGCCAAACATTTCAACACTAGGGCAGGAGGACCAGAAAGTGAACCTGACCAGAAACAACAGTGAAAACTACCAGTTTATTTTCGCTCTACCAGCTGACAAAATTTAGTTATTTATTTAAAAAAAAAAATAAAATCACAGGCCTTGTGGATGGTGAAATTTGATTTTTTTAACCCCAAATATTCTTGTAAATTTATTAGTAACAGGGCGTCATTAGTTGAGAAAGCCTCTATGTACATATGTCTTACTGATTACAATGACTATCAGATTAAAAAGAAGACAGATACAGTGACGGATATTTAGACTATATTAACAACACACTTATTTTACACTCACATAACACCCACAAATACACGCACATCTCTGCACACATAAAAATTTAAAATCTTTAAGCAAACAGTCAGAGGTGGTTTCCCGATGAAGTCTCTGTTTGCCCCATTGCTAGGATCACAGATAGATAAATCACTGGGTGAGTCCCCTCGCTAAGTAGTGGGAATATTACTTTAGTAAAGTTTGCTAATGGGGCAAAGGACCTTGTATTGTAATCCAGTGACATTTTCAACCTTCGGAGAACTTTTGTTGACATTCCCGAGTCCCTGGCTGCCATCCCAGCATGAAATAGTTTCTGTTCACATAATTCTCGTGTTTACCAGTCATGAAAAACTCTTGCTTTTGGCTTTTTTTTTTTTTAAATAAACTTTTTTTTTTTTTTGCAAGTGAAACTCTGTCTAAAAAAATATTGGCCCCAGGCATAGAAGGTTTTGCATAAATTCATATGTGATGAATGGCTGATTTTAATGTTATTTGGGTATTTGTCAGAACCTAACAAATATACATGGTAATGGTGGTTCATAAACTTAAACATCTCAATATCCCCTTTCTTCTAGAAATAAATTACGTTTGTTTGCCCTGCCTGGAGTCCTAAGGTAGCCGACATTAGGAATATTTTAAATGTGATCATCCATCCAGCATGTCTTTCAGGCGCCACGAAGATTAAATGAAAGAATCATAAGATGAAGGTCTTTAACTTTTAATCCTTTTACAATGAACCCTTAGATAGACATGGGGGCAGGGTGCCTTCTATGTGAGTAATAATGCCTCTGTTCCTCTTCACTAGGTTAATGAATACCCTAAATGTCCCAAGATCTGATTTTTTTTTCCAAACCATTGAAATTAGAAGCAAAGAGACGGGTGGTAAAACGCACCGAAAGAGTGAAAGAGGGAATGAATATGCATTCGGAGATACACGAACTGAACTTTAGAGAAAGCAGGGCTGGGCTGTGTCAATGAGACTCACGGGTTTAAAATAATTAGCATAGATTCCCTCAGAGTTTGGGGGGAAAAAAAAAAAAGTTTTTTGATTCCAAAATAAATAAGGAAAAGGCTTTCTGCACTGTCAGGGAGCCTTTGAAGAACACGTGGAGAGTTTGTTTTTGCAGTTGGTATCTATGAGATACTAACCGTCAGGTCTCCCAGCACGTAAAAGTCAAATACTTTGTTAATTGAGACGGGTCCTTATAAAACCGTGGGACAGTTACGCGCCCCGCAGAGCACAGCGCGCCCGCGGCCCGGGGACGTCCCCCACCGCCGGTGCCCCG